CTCAATAGAAGTAAAAATCAGACAAATCAAACAATGCAACAAACAAAACATGTAAGCATTTTTTCAAACAAATAATTCTTTGACTAAACAGTGAGTAGGCTAGCCAAATTACTCAGTGACATCAAGTAAAATCTCACCAAAGGTCACAAAACTACTTTGGTAAGTTCATCATATATTTTCACACATGTATTCAAATCTTCATCCTATCAAATTTCCCTATGTGGCTGCAATCTTGGCTTCCTATTCTACACGATCATCTTTCACCTTTGTGAGCCTACGAGCTTGTTAAGTGCTGTCAAGTCAGTTCTGACATCCTATTTTCATCAAATGTGGAACACCCAAAGCATGCCACATAGAACATTCTAGCAGTTTTACATTAAGACCCACGTGCATTTTTTCCTTCTCCATCACATTATCAGATCTTACCACACACCACATCACTGACCAGACAATTGTCTCCTGGAGTTCTCCTCCCAACAGTCTATCTGTGTGAAGATGCATCATCATTGAAACTATAGGTCATAAATTCAAGAAAATTAGGAAAGTTACCTTAAGCCAAGAAAATGTTGTCTCAACTACATTCAGCTCAAAGAGCAGGGATCTCTCTCTCTCTCTGTGGTTCTCAATTTTGAATGTACAGAAAATGTTCTTTAAAACATTTTTGTTCAAGTGACGTCAAGTTGGTTCCAACTCAGCGACCCTATTTAGGGTTGCCAAGGAGCAGCTGGTGACTTTGAACTGCAGACCTTGCAGTTCAAACCAACCTTGCAGTCCAGTGTTTATCCTACAGTGCCAGAACTCTTCATTATGGAGTTTGTAGGTCTAGACAGAATACTTGTTGCAATACATGACATGAGGCATACCACATTTTTAATAAAAGACAAGGACTCATTCATATATGTGTGTGGTAACACTGTTTTATCTGTAATAAGAAATTTTGACAAGATTCAACACTTTAATCAACTATAATAAATCAATAACCATATATTATATAAAAATTCTAACTCATGCATCAGTTTACATAAATTATACAATTGTCACATAATGCAATGCTTACATATTTTTAAGTTTATACCTCAAAAAATGTATACAAGTTACCAAGGGCATTTACTTAATAAGATCAAGTACAATGCTCTGTAGTTATAAATAATGCTTACGTCTTTCAAGTACCTGCTAAATATATACATATCTAGGTCTGCAGCATTTTTTATTTTTTCTGTACCTCAAAACACAAACCATCTGGAAACTTCGAAGATTAATAGGTCTAAATGTCTTTGTCACAGACTTCAGCTCCATTGTAAGAGGGGATTTTTTGACATAGAAAATAAATGCAATAAAACGTCAACTCTAGTTTAATGCTTGAAGAGCTTCTATGCTTTGTATTAAAGGCATCAGAAAACCCTTCAGACGCAGATTAATTAGCTAAGGTGCTACCTATTGCATATTAAATACTTCCAATGATTGCATCTGGATTATAAAAGTTACACAACTGTGAAAATGGGGGCTTTCCACGTGTACTGACAGACCCTTCTACGGGGACCCTTCTGACCAGCAACACTGCAATTCTTTCAGCCTCCTACTTCAAAGAGATCAAGTCAGTGAGCATGCTTTATACTTCACTGAAACACACACACACACACGTGACATCTAACTCATCTCTAAGACATACAAGGACACGAACATCAAAAAGTTGTTCCGCTTGGCTTACAAATTCATGGTTGCGTTTTCTAAAAAGCTCCAGAGGAAAATAAAAGCTCTAGTATAACAATCACTGGAGATAAGATTTTAAAAATTTTAAAAAGATTCTCCGTGTTAGAGTAAGTACGGTTATGGGGTGCTGGGACATGGGGGGTTGGGGGGGGGGCGCAGTGGGTGTGGTGAAGGATGTAAGGAGAGGCAGTCTGTCACTAATGAGCTTAGTTTTAAGTTTCCATTCATGAAACCCTTTCAAATACGAGGCAACATTTTCACAGCTGGAAAATTACAACTAAATCTTGATTTACTGCCAAAAGCAATAGATGGAGCTATGTCTAATCTATGGAGAATGCCACACTCACTAGGGGATAGCAAAACTAGACTCAATGCAGACTACAGCAGCAAAAAGCAATACTGAGTTTTCATGAGTTGGGTTATACATGATTATATATACAATTCTAAGATCTGTCCCTGGTATTCAATAAATGAAATGTGAAACCTAAATGGCAGAACACTATGTTCAATACTTTCAAAGCTGAATTTTAGAATAGGGATGGGAGTAGGGGAGTGGGGAGGGCTTCTGCAATTATAAAATAAATCCTCTTGGTGAAATACTTTTGTGTATGCACTATCTGAAACGTAAAGACAAAAGAATGTTTGTGTCCACTGTGCTGTGTGTTATTAAAGGAGTACATACGTTTTGTTCCCACTTGTAAGCTACTAACCAAATACAGCCTTAGAATACTTAAAAGTTACGTTTTGGAAAAATAAACGAAAGTCATCTTTTTGGCCATGTTTCTATAACACCAGTTATTCAAACTGCTCTTCTTGCACTTCTACCTAAACACAGAAAACGTGGATAGGTTTACATGGGAACTCACTTTTACTTTCTGTTTTTAGTTTATTTAATTGGCTGATTATGAAAATACCTAATGAGCTCTACACTAGGTCATAAGTAAAAATTCATAAATACTGGAATGGAAAAATTTCAGACAATGACAAATGTAGATTCCGTTTTCAATACAATGCTGTCTCAGATTTAAAGATGAAAAATGTTGATTCGGTTATAGCCAAATCACTCCTTAGAGATAAATGTACTGCTTAATAGTCTTTCATTCAGGCAAAGAATCACTCTTTCAACAGGAACTTCCTCATACAAAGAACAGAACTTGAAACACACTTTTTGAATGAGCTCTGTACAAAACAACCTCAAATACAACACTAGCATCTTGACTCATAAAGAGCAAATTTGGCCACAGGATATCAAAGAATCTGCAGGTATGTCATAATACTGAAAATGCATGGATTTTTTTTTTAAATTAAAAAATGTATATATGCACCTCAATTATACTAGCAACGGAAAAGTCAAGTGCCAAGACTTTTGTAATATTTAATAAAGTTACTGAAAAATGGCACCATGTGAAAAACCAGTATTTACTAAAACCTCAAAGGAGAAACTAAAATCCGGCACTAGCTTTTGAGGTTAATTATAGAATTTTAATTGTACATAAAAAGGAAAAACTGGTCAAAAGCTATTTTTCTTTCCCTATTTCTTAATTTTAGAACATTATTCAATTTTTGTAATTAGGAAAATTATTTTAGAATTTCAAAATTGTGTATTCATATCAACCATAAAAATACTAAAAAAAAAAAATGTATCAAGGGATTTTAGCTTATGGATATAGGTTTGGCCCAGTATTATCTGATTCAAAAAACTAAAATAAGCAAAATTATTTTATCTGCCTTTAATTTTATGTCCTAGAAGGCCTAAATAGGGATAAATAATAGAAAAAACACAGTTCATTAAAGAAAAAGTAGTAAATAAATCGGGGCTGTCTGTAAGCCTCCAGAAGTAGATCAAAGTTTTCGTTTTAAACGGACAAAGACACAGCCACTCTCTCAGCGTGTTGGGATCAGCAGCTCTGATTGTTAAGGAGGAGACATACGCTCCCCATGATTAGGAACATTTTGATACCATTCGTTTTCAGATGAATTTTGCACAAATATTACCAAGGTAATTTCATGGAAGTAGCCAACATTTTTGAGGGAATGGATTTCAAAGGGGAAAAAAAAGGAGCTAATTTTGTGATAAATCGATTCTTAAAAGCCAGCGGAAGAGTCATGTGTGATGGCGGCTAGAAACCAATCGGCCCTAAAATCTCCCTGGTCCTTCAGGAGCTTTTACTTTGGTTCCAGACCCACAGGCAACCATCTGTTCCATAATTTACCTAACTCGAAACCAAGCCTAATTCTTCATTCCCAGAGTTTGCCCACTGCTTTGGGTGAGCGGGCATCAAATGATTACCTACATACATTTCCTCCCCAAACTTGTCTCCCGACATAACTTGCAAATCTTGTCTTTGCTAGTGACTGAACGGCATGCACTCTCTCTAAAAACAAATGACATTAGCTTATCTTTTGCTTAGAGCTTAAACAAAACTCAAGACACTAGGATTAAATAATAATAAAAATTAATTCCAAGAGATTACATGCTGTCGTGGTAAAATGAATGACATAGGTTCCCCAAAATCTGCCATTCTTTAAGAAAAGACTGTGGGTCATGACTGTCAGCTGAAGAGCAAAACCCAGATGCTGGGACAACACAGAGCAGCTCACTGTGACACCAAGCTTCATGTGGTCAATAGTAATTTCAGTACAAACATCATTAGCAATGACACTTTGCTCCGCACCCACAGATCACACATACATTTGTTAATCAAGGAACTGGTATCCCAACCTTAGAGGTCACCAGTTTTGTTTTGTTTTTTTAATGTTCTCAAAGCACATTATATAGGAGGTATATGCATGTACTTTACATACAGAGATACGTGGACATAGATTCATGTGCTTATCTATGTATATAAAAGATGTCGGGTTTTCTTTTTAAGTAGTGTTTCTAATGAGCAGTATTCCTACAGCTAAATGCCTAAAATTGAATTCTGAGAAACCAACTACAATCTCGATTCTGCTCCATGAGACATCCATTCCTGAGGAGTGAAGTCATGTACTTCTGAAGATAGTTCTAGGCCTCTGGTAGATTTGTGGGCTGGCACCTAAGTGAATCCTTTGAAACTGCTTATTAGAGAATCTGGTCCATTTTTACTCTAAAGTTTAAATTATTTAAGTCACTTCAGAGGTCACTCTTTTGACCGTCCTTGCTACTACTTCCAGGTGAAGCCATTTCTTCTCATTGAAACAGGAAAGTGTGCAAAGAAACCTGATTTTATCACCTCTGGTGGCCAAGGTTTCCTTTCACCCTCTCTCCTTACTCCTTTGATCCTGTTGTAACAGACAAGCAGGTCAACGGGTTTCCTAACTATCGGAGAATTTGCCAGCCTTCCTGGATGGCTCATAGGGCACTCTGAGGATACTGGGGGTCTCTTCCATGACCCGTACGAGGAGGTTGTCGATGTAGTCCTCGAGTTCCCGGATGTGGGTGTCTCTCCTCCTCAGGAGCTCTTTGTGCCTCACTAGCTCCTGCAGAATCTCCTCGTGAGTCAGGCCACGATACCCTGCCGTAGCATCAAAAGGGTTGCTATCCTAGAACAAAATGGAGACTGTCACTTTAGCAGAAGCAGGGCCATGAACAAACGTTAAGGATTACTCTGAAAATCAACATCTGGTGTTTCAAACTCTGAATCACATTTGTCTCTGGGCTTGGCTAGAACGAAGAGAGTTCACTGATTAGCTTAGTCAGTTCTGAGGCAAGGACTAGGGCAGAGGCACCAGAGCTTTGGTTATAATCCTACATTCTTCTCAGCTCCCCCTTAGTGGTTATGAGTCGGGCTGCTAACCTCAGGGTCAGCAGTTCCAAAGGACCAGCAGTTCCACAGGAGAAAGATGAGGCGTTCTGCTCACGTAAGGATTTACAGCCTCATGCAGGGTTGCTGTGAATCAGAACCGACCCCACGGCACATAAGCACCCCCACCCCCACCACCTTCTTCCACGCCCTAAACCTCCCTTTGACAAAAACAAAGATCAATCATATAATCCAAGACTAAATTAAAATGTGTTCTGCAATAAAGTTTAATAAACACTGATTAAAACAAAAGGTCTCTAAGAATTAAACTATCAAAAGCTATAAAAAACTATATACTCATGGAACTTCCATTGTATTGTGGTTTAATGCTTAGTCTTTGCCTTTTTATTGAAGACTGTTACAGGAGGCATCCAATATCAAATCTGTTTCTGTAACTTGTTATGAAACGTTGAAGGAATTCAGAACCAATTCAGTGAGTACCTTCTAAGACGCCCCATCGGAGGCTTAACTTAACTTCTGTTAAGTGCCATCAAGTCAGTTCTGACTCCTAGTTACCTATATAGGGATTCCAAGGAGCAGCTGATAAATTGGAACCAATGACCTTGTGATTCAAGCTGACCTTGCAGTTCAGTACCCAGTGTCACACCAGGGCTCCTAACTGGTTCAGACTGACCTTGCAATCCAGTGCACGAACCCGCAGTACCACAACAGGACTCCTTAAGAAGAGGTTAACTGACCTATTGCCTCCTTCTTGTACTACTAGCTAACTTAACTGATTTCCCTTTTTGCTTTGGTTGTCAGGAAGCTCAGAGGTCAAATGAAACCATGTTAACATTTAGGATTTATATATTTGCATTCTTTCCCATATCACTTATTTACTTACTGTGTAACCTTATTTTATTGATAAAAATTCTTTTTAGACAAAAGTATAAATATAAGCCCCTAAAAAGGAAGAAAAAGGCATTAATTTATTTTCACTACAAAGGCAACCTAAATATTAAGTCAAGGATAAAGAATATTTCTCAGAAAGAAAATCAAAAAGTCGCTGTAACCTCATCTTTTATTATACAAAGGGGGGGGGGGGGCTTCAAAAAGTTTGTGGGAAAATGGAAATATAAATACTATACATACAATATGTACTGATTTATGATTATATAAAATATAATGTTCCCATATAAGGTAGCAATTTTATGCCTTTTCATACATAGTCCTGGGAACGTGATGGCTCCATATAATAAGCACTGGACTGTGAATCAACAAGGTTTGCAGTTCGAGCCTACCAGCCACTCCATGGGATAAGATGAGGCGTTCTACTCCCTCAAAGACTTAAAGCCTCAGGAATCTATACCGGGTCGCTATGAGATGGAATCGACTTGGTGGCACTTAAAACAATATATATAGTCCTATCGCTAAACGCTACAATTTGACATGATTTGTATCACTTTTGTTTAAAAACAGTTCCGTTTGGCTTTACAGAAAACACACGAAAACTGAGGAAATCGGTTTTCTTGCATTCAAAGTCTAATTAATATCTATCCATCGCTATGAATTGGAACAGCGTGGAAAATATAAAAGAGCTTTCTTTCTCTTTTTGTTGGTAAGGGATCACAGTTGTCTTCACTCATTTTCAGAATCTACTTTAGCTGTGGTTTGTCTAGCAGTTTCCCTCAGAAAAGCCCAAGTTGAACTTCTGACGCCTCCGTGGGGCAGTCCGACTTGGCCAGTGCCACAGAACCAGAAGCGAGAGTTCAGAGAGCAACTTGATGCCTGAGTCACTGAAGCACACACGCAATTTTCTCTCCAGAATAAAGGGAAAAACTCAGGATTGAAAATATTTCTTCAATTGACAGAATCTCTCGGGTTTAATAAAGATTGTTTTGTACCAGCTCTTCACAGATTTTGTCAGGCAGAGATGGAGAATGGGCAGTTCCGGTTTTTCAAAGAAGGAAGAAGGCTCAAGGCACAGCCGTCAATAGCAGGTAATCAGGGGCACGGATGGAAAATAAAAGGACCAGTGAGGGAGCCAAGACTAGGCTGCAGTGGTAGAATGGTGAGAGGTCATCAAGGCTGTGGAATGCTCTTATTAAGAACTTTGAGGCCTTTGACTATAGGAAATAGGAAGTCATTGGAGGTTTCTAAACAGGGCAGTGATATGATGAGAGCTTTAGTCTCGGACAATTAAAATGGCACCAATGGGTAAGATAAATCGGGGGCTAAGATGATTAGTTTTAGGACGACTAAGCTCAAGAGAAGAATGACGAGGAGCCCCAAGTAGAGTAACAAAAGGAATACAGAGAAACTGCAGAGACATGTATTTAAATTCTGTACATAATATTTCAAACAACTTAGGTTAGCACTGAAAACCAGGAACCGATTTAATTTTCTGAGTACTTTTGCCCCCTAAACCTTTTTCAGAATATTACTCCAAAATAATTGAAGAACAATTCTAAAGACAGTGTCGGGTAACTTTGTATGTCTTCTCCCTCTGATCACTGAATCTTTGTATTTTAAATAAGAGTAAGTCTACACACACGCCCACAACTTTTCCTAGTTTGTTTAACTGGACACAAGCAATTTAGTCAGGTAGCATATTAAAAATGTCCTAACTCCATCTCTGGTAGCGTAGTGGTTACGAATCGGGCTGCAAACCTCAAGGTCAGTAATTCGAAACTACCAGCTGTTCCGCAGGAGAAAGATGAGGCTTTCTGCTCCCGTAAAGATTTACTGCCTTGGAAACCCTGTACAGGGTCGCTATGAGTCGGAACCGACTCCACGGCGCATAACAACAGCAACTCCATCTCTACAAATCAACATGCTAAGCCCATTTCCATGAAAAGATGTATTTTTTAAGTTTACAATAGAAAATGTATTCTAAACTAAGTACTTTTGCACAGAATTGAGACATATCTTATATTCTAGATATCACTTTCCTTATCTGATAGATGAGATGTTGTTCACGGTCCCTTTCGATTCAAACATTTCCAGAGTGATTTTTCTGAGCAGCATTTTTAAAAGTAATAAAACCCAACCAATGTAGTCTAATAAAAGATTTCCTGAGAAATAGGAGTTCTTGTGAGAATTGCAGGGATTAGTGAATTTAAACTAAATGGGATTCATTAATGATTAGTTGACTGTTGTTTTTTTTACCCTTAATTTAACATAATAATAGCATCTGCTCCAGTCTCTGTAATCTTAATCAAATTATCCAAATATGAACTGACATCTCCAAACTAATTAAGTGATGATATACAGTCAACAATTCACTTGTACCCTTATATACAACATTATACCAGGGCGACCGGATTATGTACTTCTTTTTTCTGTTGTTTGTTTTGTGTGTTTTTTCCCAAGAAGGATAAAAGGAATGCCACAAGCCTCGTATTTTGACATAAATAGTTCAAATTAGTGCCATGGTATTACATCAATCTAACAATTTATGTACTCTCTCCCCACAATCAAGTACTGTTTCAGAAGAGTGTTCAGCATGTTAGAGCAAGACTTTCGAATATACTGGTCCAGTATTTGCCTTATGCTACCCTCACAACATCTAATACTAACATACAGGCAGATTTGCTGGAAACACATTTCTGGTCTTTTCAATAATTGTTCCATTTGTGTTTTCATGTGAAATTTTCTGCATCAAGTCTCTGGGCAAGAAAACATCTTAGAAGCACATGTACCATCAACCGTATTGGGGAGAAGACGATGAAATAATGAACAACAGCCTCATGCTCCAGATCTTATCCCATATTAGGGAGTCAGGCAAGCCTTCTACTTTCATATAGACGATTCTAAAATGAGTGGATAGACTCATTAAACTCATATCCTTCTGTTTGTGGACATCATCCAAATAAAATAATAAAAATTAATATCAACCAATATTATTTTAGAAAATTGAAGGACTTACTGGTTACAAATATTATTCTACTTAGTGATGAAAAGGTTCAGGCAAATAAATACACATTGGGGTTTTTTGTGTGTGAAGATTCTCTTAATACTATTTTTGGGAAATCTTCTAAAATTAAACAACTACCAAATGGGTAAACACTTGAATGCAACCTACCACGGGACTCCTAAATTCTCACTATTTTTCCTACAGTGCTCCATAGAGGCAGCACATGTGTTTTAAAGATGTTTTCTTCTTTTAAAATCGAATGTAAAACGTTCTCTCTTCCCCTTCCACAACCAATCCTTTTTCATTCCTACCCAGCGTCTGGTAAAAATTTCCATATGCAGATATTAAAAAAAACAAAACAAAACAAAAAACGGGACTGAGCAAGAGAATAATTAAGTGTGGCAGTACATTTTCTAATCAGAATTTGAAATCAGGAAAAAGAATTTGAGAATTACTAGTGAACTATTTCGTATCTTACTCATAGGCTAGCCTTTTAAACTGGGAAATGTATATATCTCACACACACACACACACACACACACACACACACATGTATTTTTTACAATATTTAAATTAAAACAAAGGAAAATTACCAGGACTCAAAATAACTGAAGATTAAAGAAAGGTTGTCCTGGTAACCAAATATTGGTGAAGTACTAACGGACGTCCCAGGCAGCTAGAGGAGAGAGATAAGATGAAGGCTTGGCATTCTCTGATCATCTCATTATTGTCCTAATGAGGAACTTTGCTCTGGGAATATCATCCCAGCTACTTTCACATCTTTTGTCCCACTCCCTTCATCTCCCTTTCAGTTCTTAATTAGGCCTTAAAGAGCTCACACTGCCCTTTCAACTGGCTACTGCTCCTGTTTAAACACGGCGCTTTCAGGGACAGGTGTTGGCACTGGCATACACGACATACAAACTTAATTACAAAATACTGCGTCCAGAAGGAGGGAAAAAATAACTTGGGGATGGTTATTACTGGAGAGCTTAATGTAAATTACTTCAAACATCTTATCATCTTCAACATAAAAATGATTCAAATACTTTTCCTCCAAAATGGTCAGCTTGGGATGAGCGGTCTACTCTTACTTGTATCTTGCAGTAAATTCACAGCACCTAGGAATCCTTGGGCTGTCATTTAGAACAGTTAGAATGCCAGAGAAAAGTAATCACACATCAAGGATTCTCTTATCACCTTTAAATCCTTTAACTAAAACAATTTTCACATTTTATTTCTTTAAAGAATGCTAAGGATGCTTTTGCAGCAATAAATGACAAGATTTGGAGAAGTACATTTACAAGCAGATAGAAATTATAATTAAGGTTACTTGATAAACAATAGCTACACATTAAATCCATTTTTTTGATGTTGTATTTTGTTTGAGATTAAGTAACTGCCTGATAGAATGCATTTTACTATCTGATCAAAGGCTGACTTCATATATCCTGACGTTTCTTGCCAGACTGCCATATTAAAAGGACTTGAATCCTTTATGAGTATTTATGAAACATCAAAACTTACAAATCATTTACATAAAACAGCAAAAACAGAGTACAAAGTCATCTGCTTCTCTACGGCTCTCTACAGTTCTAAAGACAAGTAACTACACTGACAGTCGTTTATAAAACGACCCCTGCCACCATCAGGGGCTCTGCCAGGCATATCACATCATGGAAAATTGTGATATGTTATCGCTTAAAATAATTCTTATCAAACATCTGGATCACACACCTTAAGGACAGATGGTTCACAAAGCAACTACCAGCCTCTTGGAAATGCTGCCATTCAGTGGAGAATTCAGTCTCCTACCAAGAACACTTGTCCAGGTTTTTGTAAACTAACTTATTCTCTAGGTTCAATATATTGAGAGTTGACTGCAGATACCACAGAACTCTGAAGAGAGAGCTAACACAGGATTGCAAACAGCAGTGAAATCAAAATCCGTGTAAAATAGTCGAGTAGAGTTAGCGGGGTCACTGTGTTGCTGGTGATGGTATTAGCTGCCTTCCCGAACCTGTTAGCATGTTGGGTGTAGTCCTGAGTGGGAAGATAAATGCCCTATAGGTTCTTATCAGGTACTTTCCTGGTTAGCAGGGTCTACAGCCAGGATGCTTTTCCTATTGCTGAATGCTAACAAGCAGACTTCTTCTGCCTTGTAACAAACACAACTACAGCAACAACAACATGAAGCCTTAGCCTTCCCCACATGCTCTGATTTCAAGACTGTAATGCTTTCACACTGATTTTTTGAAAATCGACAAACAATACATATTGTTCTTTTTAAAACTCAGTTTTACATATTGTTGTTGTTGTTGTTGTTAAGTGCTGTTGAGTAGGTTCTGACTCATAGTGACCCCATACAGGATTTTTCAAGGCTCTAAACCTTCAAAGGAGCAGAAACCTTCATCATTCTCCTGCGATGTGTGTATATGTTGTAAATATACACACATGTGTGTGTATATGTTCTAAACTGGCCTCAATTCTAACTATCATGTTTGCTTGCACCATCGCATATAATGTAGACAGCGCTTGTCATATATCAAGGCAGTGTGTGCTTTCCTTCTTTGTCTCAGATCTACCAGGCTAAACTAAAATACTTGGATCATTAAAGTATTATCAAGAAGACTTAGGCATTTTACAGATGTGTGCCACAGAGAAGACCAACTGGGCTCTTTGCTAACTCTCTAATCCTCTTCAGGAACTTACCAGTATTTTCCTGAGGTCTTCATTGCTTGTTGGATTCATATGAAAACTGAGTTTAAAAAAGAACAAAAGAAAAAGACAAACATAAATGTTAAAAGTGTAACATAGTACATGTGGGAAGAATCACATAAAAACAGAGCCTTTTAAATCAGCATTAAAATAACAATTTCCAAATGATTCACATGAGTGATTATTAATCCAAAATGTAAAAGGAAAACATTAACTCAATATTCTTAATGACACATTTTAAAGGTAAATCCTTCAGATTATAAGAGCTACACATCTAGATATGTATTTTCTAAAACGTATTTAAATATAAGCAATTTTGAGATATTTTAACAAATTAATCTGTGTATGTTCAATATGGTTCATTTTTACACACACACACATACACACACACTTACCTTAGACCTTCTAAAAGAAAACTGTGGAAAATGAAATAAATTGAGGTTGGAAAGACTAGAGAATAAGAGTTAAAGCAACCATTTAAAAATGCTACAAGTATTAGAAAAATGAACTTTAATTCATTAGCCTATCACTAAGTAGGAATTCAGAGTATATGAACCATTTATGTCAGTGATATGATTTTTAAACAGCCTTCAAAATTTAAATACCACCAAACTGACCAAAACAAAACACATTTCCTCCATGCAGACAATACGAAAACACCACAGCTGAAAGCTGTAATCATTTTCTTCTTTGAAACAGGTCCATTAGGAAGGGAGTTGCAACCCAAAAGAAGCTAAACATCAAAGCCATTCGATGAGTAAATATTTCATCATTGCTATTCAAGTTTAATTTTTACCACCAGAACCTCAACAACTGCCCTAGAAACCTTTTCAAAACAATGAAACACAACTGTAAAATATGTTTCATTATCAATGCATTTCTAAAATAGATTGTGAATACAAGATTGTTGAAATCCTTTAAAGATCTAAGAAAATCACTTAAAATTTTTTTCGAGGGCTTGCACAAAAAAATGTGGACAGTAGCTCTAATATCTAGATCTATGAGGAGGCTTCAAAAAGTCCATTATCCTTTAACTGCATTTTCCACAAACGTTGTGAAGCCACCTCGTATTAGTGCAGCCGAACCTCCCAGGCTGCACGTCTATAGGCATTCATACATCCACGGCTCAACCAATGCAAGAGAATTTCCCACGTATCCCACGTTTCACGGATTCTGACTAACATTTGTAGTACTAGTTTTCAGAACTGGTTGCAGAACTTTTCCATCAAGAACTCCTGTGGATAAACTGAGCATTTCGGTAGAGTTGTATGACAAGACAGAGATGACGTACTCACATTTTAAGTATCTACAACATACCGGTTACAGGCCTAGGTGGTTGACACATTTTCACCCTTTCTGTGTCTGTCTTTATGATGTTCTGTAACCCCACACCAGCAAAGCCTCAAGAGGCAGCAATCAATTCATACCTATTAATGATTACACTGAATGTAAATGGATTAAACGCACCAGTCAAGAGTCGGAGCAGAATTGATAACAAAGCAGGATCCTTCAATACGCTGTCTACAAGGGATGGAGACAGCCTAAACGCTCACCAACACAAAAATGCTTAAACAAATCTGTAAACACAATGGACTACTACGCAATGCTGAATCTGACACCTACCTCATAACATAGGTGGACCTGAGAACATTACGCTGAGTGAAATGAGTCAATCACAAAAGGACAAATATTGTAGGAGATCAATACAATGTTGTAAAAAGTGAAGAAAAGTTTTTTCAATAAAAGAAACCAACAGTGATGGTTACGGAGAGGCTGGGAGAGAAAATGATTCAAGCGCCAGAGGGTAGACACATGCTAACATGGGTGATGGGAAGGGAGAGGTTAGCAGAGGAAAGAAGGTAGGCAGTGGGAGACACAGGGAGGAAGGCAATCGTTAAAGGAATCAGAGTCGTAAAGACTGTTGGAACTATTGATGCACAGAGGGGATTGCAACCATTGTAAAGAAGCAAAGTATAGGATTCGCTGAATGTTAAGTTGATGATCTGCTCTGAATCATCAATTCACAATAAAAACAGGGTGGTTTTTTTTGTTGTTGTTTTCAAAAAGAGCCCAGCAAAAGAGAAGCTTAAGCGCTAAAAACAAAAACACAATCCCACCAGATAGTACTCAGTTGGGTGTGTATTGGCAGCAGCTGTTCCCATGTGTGGTCTCCATCCCCTCTGATCCTACCCAAGGTCGCCAACATAAGAGTCCAGTGGGATTATTTCCTCCTTGCCCCAGTATCTCAGAGTGCGGTGTTATTCTAATATGTCAAGAAAAACATTCTGCTCCACCTGTCTCTGTCTGACTAGGGGAGTCTCAAGGTCAGAATGATTTACATTTGGGTCTGACGGCGCACCGTGATGGTTACAAGTTGGTTCTGCCTTTATGCTTTCTGTATGGCCATGAGCAAGGCACTTGACTTTCACTGCATAGGATTCACTTTGTGTCTGGGTCCCCTTATCTGTGAAATGGGAACAGCAACTGCCTCACTGAAAACTGCTGAGAAGATGAATTAAGTTAACAACGCAAAAGACTACATTTAGCAGACAGAGGATGCTCAATAAATTAGTTCATTTAATAAACATTTACACAAGACTCATTTTCTACCTGGCATTGTTCTAAGCACTTTACCAACATGAACTCATTTAAACCTCACAGCCCCATAAAGTAGGTATTATTATCAGCTTTTTTTTTTAAATATGGAAACACGTCCCACCATTCCACAGTCGGTAACTGGAGCTGTCTGGCTCTGGAGGCTTTCCTCCTAACGTTACACCCGGCCTTTGCCCAGCTCTTTGCTATGGATCTGCTTAGTGATGGCTGACAGCCTCGCACACATAGGTTAACAAGAAAGGAAACATCACAACGCTGGGGAGAAAGAACCCGCAGTCTTGGTATTCCAGTTTTCAGACCGCACGTGGAAAACAAACGTCCTATCACATCATTTAAGGAGCTCTGGTAGCGAAGTGGTTACAAATGGGGCTGCTAACCTAAAGGCTAGCTAGTTCGAAACTACCAGCGGTTTCACGGGAGAAAGATGAGGCCTCGGAAACTCTATACAGGGCTGCTAAGAGTCGGAACTGACTCCATGGCACAACACTACCACCACCATCACTATTGCTGCAACTGGTCAACTGAAGGCCTGATTCATGGAAGATGTAGGACTGAAAAATTACATGAATGATACACTTGTCAGACCTGAGAAATAAGTTTCCAAACATGTGGTCGGGTCTCCCACTGCTAGGCAGGAGCATTTACTGCAGCCCCCAAGAGCCACACCCGAGGTCAGATGATGGGAAGGAGTTCCTGAAGGTTTTGATGAGAAAGATGAGAATCTCAGACCCGGTCCATAGAGCAATTGGCTCATCTTCTCTCAAAAATCTTACGTGGCACCTCCCTCATCCCATTCTGTCCTTGAATACTAAGCAATACAACAATGGTGCAAATGTCTGTGCGTGTCTCAGAAAGAACTAATAAATGAATAGGAATATCATTATACTTATGGTAATAGGGCTTTTTAAAGAACAGATCTCTGTGACCAAGATCTTGTGAAATGAAGTGATGAAACTAACAATCCGTCTTGCCCAAGGGCTTTGGAATGAAAAAGAAGCTCAATGACCAGAAGAAAAACCGTCTGCCAACTTTTAAGAAAAAGGTCACAACTGTAGGAGGAACAAGGACCTGGTGTGGCGAGTCCCAAGACACCTGTTTATCAAAGTGAGCCGAGACTCCCTCGGCCTCCCCCGTGCCGTGCTGGTTCTCCAGTGTGGAGCCGAGGGAGCCGGCTCTTGGATGGGGTATTGTCTACAATCTAAAGGCAAAAAATCCCTCCCTCGTGGCCTGCTTTTTACTTACACATTGACGTGTCAAATTCTGATGAACTCAGTCATTCATGACTGCCTTTTTGGAGCTGTCCTTATAGGAGGGAGAAAGAGTTAACTGAACTGGAGTGAATTAGCTTGGTGAAAACGAAAATGTCTCTATTTACCGGAGTGTGGCACCAATTTGTGCTATCTTTCTCTCCGGCCGGCCGCCCTCGTGTCAGACAAGATACTGAATAAACCCGTCGCACTGCCCAGCTGAGCTGCTGACAGGCAAAGGAAGAATGGTGCTCTTAATCAGGTGTCAAATAAACAGAGACACGCGCACACGGAAAAAGCCCATACAATTTCTATACACTGTAGAATTTCAAAGATTTTGTTTGAAAAATCAGAACTGAAATTTGGGGGTGGTAGAGAAATTGCAAAGTAACTTTAAAGCTGACAAAATATAATAATAAAAATTTTAAAAATATATTTTAAGCTGACAAAATGTTCTTCCTTAACATTCTGACGCTTTCAATTAAAAGCTTGGATCTTTTAGAAACAAATGTTGACGTTTTCCAAGAAAACTAAAAAAAATAAATAAATTAGTAATACTCAAGGATCATATTTCTGAGAACCATTATAATATCTTCTATAACATCACTTACCGGGAGACTTCAAAAATTTTGTAGAAAAATGGAATCAAAAGAATGGAATTTCTCCATAAACTTTTAGAAGCTCCCTTATATTGATATATAAAGAAATAATTAAAATTGTGATCATTTGAAATTATCCTTCATTTATGCAAAGGACTAATTTTCTATATATAGTAAGTCATAAAAGGACACCAATCTTTATAAAGTGCTAAAAACAGACCACTCAGTAACTGCTGGGGCAATTGGCAAAGACTGACGTTAGTTTTTGTTTTTTTGTGTTTCGTTGTTTTTTTCTTTTCCTTTCTGTTCTCCTTGAAAAACACATACACATTCTTTGGGGAAAAGATTATTCAGAGTGAAAAAAAATATATATATATATATAAATATATATAATGCTTGTAAACACATTAAAATCAAACACAAAAGATAAAAAGATCTATTTAAAGTACTCAGGAATACGAATACACAAAGACCAAGCCAATGAGCTGTGTGAAAAAATTTTCTAATAAGATGTCACATAACCACCCCTGACCTTCCTTTACGGAAATTTAAAAGCAAATATTATTAGTGTATTAAAA